TCGCTCTAAGCGCTTGCTCCTTCGCTCTGAGCGCTTGCTCTCTCTGCGCCATCTCCGACGCGAGTGCTGCACGCTCCTGCTCAAGCTTAGCGCTGCGTCTGTCCAGGGCCAAAGCATCTCTCGCCGCTGCCGTCTTGGCTCTCTTTCTCGCCTTCGTCTCGCGTCCACCGACACCGCCGGTGGGCTTGTTCCTGCCCTTCGGTTTTGTCATCGGCCGAAAGCTGGGAGGCCCCTCTTCCAGCGTGCGGTACTCGACAACGGCTGCGTTGTTTCAAAAGCTGGTCTGATGGTCCCGCGCGCCAAATCATAGGGTTTCCAAAAAGTTCTACCTGCGTTGCTATTTCTTCGTCATTTTTTTTTTTTTCGCCTCCCCACATAAAAATATAGTCAAAAAGTACCCATATATCGCCGGCCACTGCTGTACCGTGTCGTCATCCGATGAGAGCAAGACCAGGCTCATTTGAAAGCTGTGGTTGCCGTCTTTCATTTGATGTGTGGTAGGTCTACTGACCTAGCTTTACTGTGTATATAAAGGCTTTGGACCATAATGTTCGATTCCTTCGATTGAAAAAATATTGCGTACACGCCCTGTTCAGAAAAAAAAATTTCGCCGGAAAAAAGCAAAAATTTGCTCTCAATTTTTCTGTGCCACCGTAATAGCATTGTGTTCCTCTACTGCGGAATAACTGCTGTTGTAGCTCCCAATTTCTCCCACCAGCAGGGGCAGATTAACGGTGGGTTTTGACTCCGCGTTTCAGTCTCCATGCTTCCCCACTAAGCCTACCAGCCCTTGCCTGCATCCTCGCTAAGCGTGGCTGTTTATCAATTGTAAGAGGGGATGTGCGTAACTCGCTATCAGTGGGATGCCACGCAGCAGTCAGACTGCCCGGGTGCTGTAGCGGGGGAAAAAAATGAAAATGGCTTTCTGTATTTCGCCGCCGCCCGCCACCCACAACATATTCCACCTTGTGCGATAGCAACATCGGTTTCCCCAGGCCCAAAGCGCCAACCCCTTTCCCTCTCTCGTACCTCTTTTCCTTACCTTGTGGATATGCAAGGCACATCCTAACTGCAGCCAATGTTCATTTCAGGAACAGCGCTCGCGCGCGATAACAAGTGCGCTCGGCAACGCTACTTTCCGTACGCGGGGAAACCACTTGCCGTTGGCACGCCAACTGGGGCAACAACCCGCACAACGGGACACTAATGTCATCATACATAACGATGATGATCATGTCATCACACAAATCGATGATGGCAAAGGCGCCGGTGAACTTCAAGTCGAGGCTTCAATGATCTGATAATTTTTACCGCTACAACGTACGGCAGACTATTGACGGTAGCAAACCATGTTGCTTGTCCAAGTCGACATGCATAGGAACTCACGCACACAAGTATCCCACGCGACGGTGGTTATCCCGCGTAGAGACACTCGCTACGTGAACTGCTTTGCTAACTCCAGTGCATCTCGTAATTGACTGCAATTAGGATGTGCTTTGCGGGTCGATGAACCTCCCTCTTTGCCATTGCCAACTCCCTGAACCTCTCGAACCTCAAAGGCAAGAGCGACACCACTGGAAGCAGCTGGTGCGCGGAACAGCAGGTCTTCGGCCGCGACATGAGGCGCATCGCGCGAACACACTGGGACGCAGACGGACCCCTAGACCACCGCGAAAACTTGTCTCCCCGTTCGCAGCAGCTCGATGGCGAATATCTCCTGCCGCTGGCTTGCGGCGACGACTCGTTCGGGGACCACACGGGCGGCGGAGCCGGCAGGGGAGGCGGCGCCGGCGCTGGGGGTGCTGCCGGTGGCGACGGTGGGGGGGGAAGCTCTTTGGCGAGCGGGATGGAGGCAGGGATCTCTACGGGATCTCCAAGGGCGGGTGGGATCGGGAGTGTCGGGGCAGGGGTTACCTCGCCGCGAGATCGGGATGTCTCCGGCGGCGGCGGTGGGCGGAAGAGGGGCAAGAGGGACAGGAGGCGCTTCTTCCTGAGAATACACAAGTTCGTGTTCCAGAAGGAGCTGGCGCTGCACTTTTCGATGTGCATCCTGAGCATCGCGATCCCGTTCTCCCTCTCGGGGTCCCCCTGGCTGGCGGCCATCCCCGTGTGCGTGTGGTGCTTCTACAACGCCATGTTCGTGATGGGCGCCAAGCGGGCCTCCACGGTCCTGCCGGGCTTCGACCGCTTCAAGCGAAGCTTCGTGGCTGCGATGGAGGAGTTCCTCCCCCCGCGGCTCGTCCCCGTCCTCTCCCTCTCCTTCCTGAGCGTCGTGATCGCGGTGACGCTCACGGCCGCGAGGCTCGGCGGCCCGCCGCTGTGCATCTCGTCGTGCCGCACCTGCCTGGGGAGCTGGAAGCATGCTCACCCCGCGACGTCGCCGCAAGGTCGCGGCGCCGCTGCTTCGACGTCGGGCGAGGCATCACGCTCCCGCTCCAAGTTCTCGCCAAATATCGTCGGTGCGTTCGAGGGGGCGAAGAGAGGCAGAGATAGCGCGGCAGCGGGAGACCACCGGCAGGCCGGGGGATCGGGGGGCGGCGGAGAGAACTTCTGGGTTGAGGCAGATAGAGCGTCACCCGCGCGTGGTTCGCAGCGGGCGAAGAGTGGGGAAGCGTGCGGCTACGCGAATGGGAAGGTAGGGGAACAAATGGATGGTGTTTGGGCAGGCGTTCGATAACGACAAGACGCTGTCTTGTGAGACGCGTTGCGGCTGTCCGTGCTCTCTGCGTGAGGGATTTGACTGCACTTTGCTGTGCAACGGTTTGCTTGGTTGGATATATCACCCTGACGGGGCTTTCTATGGCGGGATGCGACTGCGATAGACCTCGTCACTAACCTCGGCATGTACCGCTGCTCGCGCATCTTTGATGGGGTCCTGGTTACGTTCAGGTTTGATATTGTGCGTGTTAGGGCCGCCAACGCTAATCGTTCGAGGCGATCTAAAATGTTAATGGTTTGCTACAGGACATGGGTTTGAAGTTGTTGCCGAGATGACCCCTTGCGTGACAAACAATTAAGCGAACCGCGCCCCGTCCGCTGCCCGCACCCCGTGTACGTTTCCCTCTCTCCCGGCAACCCCGCACGCAAGGAGCTGCTGGCGTACTACACCGTGAGCCAGAGCGCGATCCTCATCTACCTCGCGGTGATGACGGGACTTCTCACGTGCCTCGCCTGGAAGGTCTCGGAGGAAGAGCTGGCGCAAAGGCAGGCGGCGGAGAGCAGACTCAAGGGGCAAAACCCTCGGGCGTTCGAGCTCAGGGAGCGAATGATCCTGGAGCACGGGCGGCCTGGTTCCAGGTGAGAAAAGAGGGATTAGGGTACCGCCGACTGTTGTTTGGACGCTTCAAGTGCTCAGCAGGGTTGGAATTTGTGTCTTTGTCACACTTTTTCTTTCATATATATTTTCGTGTTTCGGCGGTTTTGTAGCTGTTGCAGCTGAGGGTCGCCCCCAGTGTGGTGGGGGGTTGGTGGGATGGGGGGCTCCTATAACGTGTTACAAGCCGGGCCCACCTGAGACGCTATCGTCCTTCGCAAACGCGTTTCTCAAGATACGCTTTGTAATGCGAGGTTAGCCTTTATCGCCGTGTAATTTTTGACAGCGCGTAGATGTACTAGAGACGGTCTGGCACCCGCACGCTTCTCGTAAGGATCCGAATCAACGTTCACCCAGAACGTTGGACCTCTCCCCTGGCCCCCTCTCAAGTTGTTCGTCCCAACATACGTACCCCGTCTCGATTCATGGTGAAATTATTTCGCATCCAGCCGCCGTGTTAGTAACATATTTGGGTCAGCCCGTGTCCATGGAAGTTCGTGGATTCTACCGCTTTGTGATGAGCGCGTGAAGACGTACTAGTCTAAAAGTTGTCCAGGGGAGTTATTTTTGTTTTACGTGAAAGCCTCGCCCTCACGAACACCGACCGTTGCTGCTGGTGCAAACCCTTTCAGCGTCCGGCCAGAGACGACCTGCCCGTGGCTGATGTTTGGCCTGGTGGCCGCGTGCACGTTCACGCTGATCGGCTGGCGGAAGTGGGGCGACCTGCCGGTGACGGCGGTGACGGTGGTGGTGATAGGGGCGAACGTCACGACGACCCTGGCGAGCGTGCTGATGCTGCACGTCGGCTTCCACGGGAGGCTGATCGCGCTGTACCAGGGGAACTTGCAGAGGGTTCAGTTCTTGTCCAAGCTCTTGAGGTGTGTTGCGTGTGTTCGTGCGTGTGTATTGTTGAATTAGCATCGACCACGTTGGCGGGCGGACCAAAGAATAATCGTGACAGGGTGGGCTGAGAAGAAAATCTGCTTCAACAGTGTGTGTGTGTTTCGTGGGTGGGCGGCGCCATAAGCACGGTGCCTATGAGTTACTATCGGCGTTATCATCCGCGTTATTGTGCATGGCCTGCCACCACGTTTTGGCATTGTGTAACGGCCGCCAGACATTCCTTTGTTCCTTCCGTTGAGCCCGACCAAACTGTCCCCATTGACTCGGATGGGGCTATACGTCGCAGTTGCAGCCTAGGAGCAACGGTCCGACTGAACACGTGTCGGATCAAAGCTTAGTTTTTGGTGGACACCATAGGCTTGGTCTGTCGGCCCCCTGCCGCAGCACCTCCAACACCTAACCACTGTTTGCTATTCCCCCCATCGCCCTCGTCCGCGCAAGGGGGATGATCGCACCACGTTGTGTTAAAAGGTCAAGCACTCTCGAGGCAGTTGCAAAGTGCTTACAACTGTCTTGGAAGTGACAGCACCAGAAAGTAAATTAAGTCATACGCAGCTGTCATCCGTAGGCAAGGAAGTAAGCAAAATATGCTGAACACCCTTAGCAGGATGCAGCGCACCCTTCATGCGACTCGCCGAATACCTCACAGCGCCTCGCGCTTGGTGATGTGAGAGCCTGGCCCGGTGAGAACCCGGCGTGCTCCGTCCCGGCTTTGTAGCGATGCGAGGTCAATGGTCTAACGACTACGGCATGCACGACTATGAGTACACCCCCCCCATCGCCCTCGTTTTCTCCTCCAGGGAGGGCACCAGCAAGGCCGAGGAGCCGTGGGTCCACGCGGCGGAGGCGTGGTGGTTCCTGAGGAGCTTCGTCCTTCGGGAAGACTTGTCGCTCGACTACGACGTCGGCGGGCTGGGGGTCTCGGCCACGTTTTTCATCGTGCTCGCTTCGTTCGTCGTCGCTATCGCACAGGTAGGGCAAGAAAGGTTCCACACCCGCCTGTTGATCGATCGGTCCCTCGGCTGCCCGGGCGTTCGCGTTTCGGGCGTATGTTGTCGTTTGGTCTGCGTCGTTATTGGAGTCCACTCGTTTGGTAAAGGGTTGGACACAGATGTGCACTTCCCATCTCCTGGTGGTGAGGGCGGGAGGGGGTCAACCCGTCACGTTGGTCTCCAAAAGGTCAAACGGGTCGTTTGGCTTCACCCAAGGAGATTCTTGTCAGTACCGGTGGTGATAGCAGCCGCTCTGGCAGTAGGGCGGCGAATGAAGTCGCCAAAGCACTGGCCTGGTTCGGGCGTGCGTTGCATATGAATTCCCGAGCTTCTCCGTCAACTGAATGCGTCCATGACGATGGCCGTTGCGTCCATTCATTGAGTTTGTAGAGGTTAGCTATTTGCAGTGCTTTTCAAGTAGGAGGGCGAGACGATCCAGGGTTGAAACTATGTCTTCCACAAGTTGACATCGGCCAGTGTCGGACACAAGGGTGGCCTCTGTCGTCCGCAAGAGACCGCGCCCGAGCCCCATTACCTCCCACTCTACCCCCGCCGCGGCTCCCTAGCTCGTACCCATCCCACCCACGCGTCTGCTTCGTGCATACGTGGCCAGATTGTACGTGAGGGTCTAGACGCGATGCTGAACCCGCCGGGCAGCTACTGCGCGTACGCGTCGGTGTACCTCACGGTCTGCTTGATACGAATTTTCGGCCTCGCGACGAAGACTTACCTGGAGCAGCAGCTGCATGTGGGGATTATCCAGGTGAGACCTGAGAACCATCAGCAGGCGTCTCTCGGAGGAGGGAGCGAGAGAAGGATCGTAGGGACGAGCATCAAACGGTTCAGCAACGGTTTGACATTTGGAACGGATGAAGCGGGCATATCTGGAAGTCGGTAGGAAGGAGGGACGATGTGAGCGTTCGATATGTAAATGGGCGTGGCCACCTCCGTCTCGAGGGCGACAGCCGTGGCGGCGGGCGCAGCATCTTTGGCCCCCCAGCCTCGGTGTCTTGTCAGTTGTCCTAACGAGGACGAGTCGTTGGTCAATCGTTGTTGTCTTGGTTGCCAGAGTCATACAGCATGCACGCTCCATGTTTCATGCCAGCCGCCCAAAAATGGCGACTCCCGCTCAATTCCAGGCCGGTCATCAAGGTTAGGCGCGAGGTTTCCCGTGTGTCGGGAAGAAATGAGAACTACAGAAATTTGGTTCTTGTTTGTCCATTCCTCGACAGTCGCTTTCGATCGTCACGATGTCCGTCTGTATCGTTTCGTTCCCATCGTTTCGTGCCCGTGCCGTGCGGCACGGTCCGTTTGTTCAGGACTACATCGACAACCTTGTGGCCATCGCTGCCAAGACGGCCTCCTCCTCAGCTTCGGAGCTCAAGAAAGAGCGAGGCCAGCCTTCGCCTTCTCTCGCCCCCTCGCTCACCGCCGGCACCAGTGCCACCACCTCCACCACCACGGCTTCCGCCGTCGCCGCCGAACGCGGTGCCGCCGATAACGCCGCACACCCTAACGCCGCAAACAGCGTCAGTGAACCATCACCGGCAAATGCCTCCTTGTTGGCGGCAGCGCGAGCAGCCGTCACCGGGACGTCGGCCCTCGGCGATGCCGGTGGGAGGCGAGATACTCGGGACAGGAGTCCTAAGGCCGCGGAAGACGGTGGCAGCGGTGGCGGAGCCCGAGGTATTGGAGGTGCGGGGAACGAAGGGGAAGCGCTGCTACACCCTGCCCAAGAGGCGATGCGACGAATGATTGTGCACATCGACACGTTGGACCCGTATCCGTGTGTTCTCGGTATTCCCGTAAAGCCAGCCCTTTTCGCGACGTCGAAGGTGTACGTGTTCGGATGCTTCGCCGTGATAAGCGTGAAGCTCATGTACGATGTGATCTCTGGGATAGTTTGATGTGTGGTTGTTGCCGTGATGGTGTCGTGGTGTTGTTAAGGGGCGGGGGGCGGGGTTGCATACGCCTAAGGATTGTTGCTGTTCGTTCGGATACTGCCGTTTTTCAAGGTAGCAGTGCTACCACCGCGGTAACTGTTGTTGGTGCGTGGTCGTTTGTCGTTGAGCTCGATGTTCAAGAAAGTCCCAGTTTTTTTTACGTATCCTAGGAAACGTCCCCGTACGATATCATGAGTTTTAAGTAGTTGGTCTTCTTTTGTTGTCTTCGCCGCGGTGGGGTAGCGCCAAAGAACGGCCATGGGGCAGGCAATAAACGTCCCAATGCGGCAAACGGTTCCTTCCTGCTCGGAACGTCTGAGTCTTGTGCGTGGCCGACCTTCAAGGGTACGAGAATGACGGGGAGCAACACACCGATCGAAGTCGTTCGTCTGCGATGAGTCGGGCGGTGTCGGTGTTGTATCCGCAAGTTCCTCTGTTGGGAACGGCAATGCTCACAAACACTTTGGACAGACCTTTTTCCCGATGAACGTCCCTTGAGACACCGAGACCCGCTACGACTTCCTTTTCTGTCAAGCCATGGCGGGTCATTTCGGCATGGTGTATTTGAAGCGCACGCATGTCGAAGGTGCTGTAGCATTGTATGTTCTGGCGAACTGTGATAGCGCTGAGGTTTGTTTGTGTGTGTGTCGGGAGCGATTTTCTTGGTGTTGGCTTCCTGTGCTTTGCCGAAAAGGACTGGGATAGGGAAAGCGTCGTGTCGGTCGAAACATTTGGTACATGAGCAGCAAGGCGCAAAAGTGAGTTTGTGTACGGTGTGCACCAACACATATGGCAAGGCTATAGGCCAACTTGTTTTTCCGGAAGTATTGTGAATCGTTTCCTGAACCAACCCGAACTTAACAGAGGGACACCTCGCCAAAACGTGGCTAGTCTTGTGTTGATCTCGCGCGTGTACGTAGTTTTCGACGGCGATCCTCGGCTTCCCATTCCATGTACAGCTGTATGCATTTGTCACATGCATGGAATATCTGCCGCCAAACGAAGGAACAAGAGAACCTCAGGAGATGCTCCGTGAGACAGTTATGTTGCTACCTTAGGGTAGATGCGACGGAGGAACGAGAGATGGGATTGGCTAGGGAAGAGCTGCACAAGCAAGACTTTTCAGGAGAAGGGTCCATCGAGAATATCCTACATGAGGCGCGAGGAATCCCTACTGCGGCTTTGCACGTGGCAACGGCGGCAACAGGCTTGTCTCGTCCTCGGTAACAACGGTGCGTGTTAACGTGTATCAAATTGTGGCGACACCAGGGATGTACAGTACGATCCCACATGTTTACTTACGCAGATCCTGGGAGGGTATGGGCGATCTTGTCGAGTTGTGCTGGATGCTCAGCTCTGTACTCGTGCATGCGGCAAATGAAGTCACGGTGATGAGTCGAAAGCACACAAGAAGCCGACGATGGCTTGCGAACACCACCACCACAACTGTATAAACACCACACAGGCGTTGATGTTTCATCTTCGGCCGCCTATGTTAATACACCCTACATCCAACATTCACACGCACGTGCTCTTCTCTGTCTCATCTCGTGTCGCTCGAACTTTCCATCGTGCAATTGCCTCACGAAAGCGACTCCAACCACCTGGGCCGACACATGAAGCCATGCATGTTGTGCAGTTCACCCGGCAAAGCATTTGCGAGGTTAACATATTGGTACGTTCTTCATGTGCAGTCTAGGGTACCAACATCAACGTCGATACCCTGTTCATATCCCCATTCTTTGATATGATAGCTCCAGCGGTTTTCCAATTCACAGTTTTTCCACGAATTGTTCCTACAGTAGGAGGACGCCGGGGGTGTTTCCGTCGCGGATCAGTGCAAAACACCCCAATATCTCTGTTCGGAGGGCAAATAACCGGGCCCTATGCATAGTTCAGTAGATGCAAACGTTGTGCAGACCCTTGACGGTGCAATGCTTCGCTTCAACAAGGAATATGGTAGTCGGTTCAACAGGGTTGGTTCAACAAGGCAGACATGGCCGATACGGCACCAGCTTTCGGTTCAACGATGCGCACCGCCTCCAAGATCCAGCTTCTCCTGATCGTGTATGCCCCATACCGGCTCACTCGCAAAGCTCATCCACACTGCAGCAACCAAACCTGATCCATCTTGCGACGACACACCAGACTCGAGTCAAGCGTGTACATCGCAGGCAGGACCAAAGGTGAGGTCAGGACTACTGTTGTTGTTGTTGTTGTTGTTGTTGTTGTCTTCACATCAAAAACCGTTCTCTCTGCTCAGTACCTTCGTCTGTCCGTACTAGTCTAACACTTGACGGGGTCGATTCCTGTGGTCACAGGCTAGCTTACCCAAAAACTGTACGTTCAGCATATATCGTCGCAAGGTCCCGTTCACACAACCGACCGCACATCATGGCGAACTGTCGCGTGAGGAGGTTGAGCACACGATGTTGTTGTCGCCAGCATGCTGCCGACCTTGGCGACAGCCATGGAGGCAACTTTGGAACGAAAGGTCTGTGTATTCCCCAATCATCACCTCTTGCTGTCCGGCTCGGTGCTCGCGGATGATCAGATCAAACATTGGACAACTTCTGAGCCACACTAATGTTGAACTTACCGCAGGTAGATACATTAGTCATCTTGCGCCTTCATTACTGGAATGTGGAAGTGGTGAACAGGGTGAGCGACTTTCATCCATAGCAGGAATTGACGGACCAACTGGGGTTCCGAACGATGCTTCACTTTGTGAAGAGAAGAGTGGTGAGTGGAACGTTGGCGTCCAATGAGTGTTTCGCCGAAACCATATACGAGTTCCATATGCTGACTCCGATTGGAATGAAAGCGTTCCCGTTGGACTGTGGCGCCACCGATCGCAACCGGGACTGCTGCAACACCATGTCAGGCAAAACGTATGGCCCTCAAAGAATGCTTTATCTTGGATGGACGTACCAATGGGTAAAGCATTTGCCGTGTAAGACGTGGCCCGGTGTTGCGTAACGCGTCTCCATCCAGCTCCCAGTGGATCGAGAACCGCGGTTCCAACGATTCTTCGTTTGCGTTGGGTAGCGGCTACGGCAGCTGAATGGGACAAAGACGGCGGCTGTACAATGGGACCCGATGTTTGACGCAAGAGCGAAGACACGACCCGTCTTTCCCACCTCTTCAACGTGAACGCAGAAGCGTCACCAGCAACAGCTGCAGCGGCGAAGGCGGCAGCAGCTGCTGCAGCAGCGGGCAGCGGCAGCCCCGATTATGCTATCGGCCGAGATACCGCAGGTGTCAGCAGCACCGCTAGTATCCCCACCGAGTGCGTTCAGTGACGCGGGAACTCGGCGCCGCCAGCAAGAGCGTGAGCACCCAACACAAGGGACATCGCGAGTGGACGTCTCGTCAAGGCAAGCATCAGTAGCAAAACACATTCGCCAGACATCATTAATCGCGTAGACTAGTCTACACAAGTAGTGGCCTTCGAGGAATTTCCCCCAGAGCAGTCTGTTTCCCCTCTTTCCGCTGGTTGGAGGAATGAGGCCTCTCGCCCAGGCCGAGGGGAGTGAACAAACCACTATCACCCCCTCGTCCATGACCAGGGTAAGTGAATACTGGTAAATGAATAGACTCTCGTCCGCGACCAAGGTGAGTGAGCAGTGAAGTGTTGGAGGAATGCGCCCTCTAGTCATAGTCCATGTTCGAGGTGCATTGATATGTCTCACCCTAGCCCCTGTTGTTCCACGATGCTCTCTTACCGACAACTTCTTCACAACTCTGCAGTAGTCTTTGCCATCGTTCCGCCCCACGAGCGGTTGCCTTACATACATCAGTACATTTGATGTTGATAGGGCCGACCCGCTCATTGAAATCGTACAGTGAAATGGTCCGTCCCACCCTTGCGACTCCTACATGTGCAGCTGATGTTTGCTGCAGGGTATGTAGAGATCGATGCTTTGATACAGCTTGCGACAGAGCGCGAGAGAGAATGGACCCACACCCCGTGTAGCAGGGCCATAAGAATTCATGAACCTAGATAATAGCTTGGCCAAGCACTCTGTACCACGTCTGCAGATGGGTGCAGTGGTGGTGTTTTTCACGGGTGCTTCCCCGTCCATTCTCTCGTATGCGGCTGACGTGACACACAGTGTTGTTGCTTCAGCCGCAGAAAGCGCAGCCGAACAACCAGATGGTCAATTGCCACGACCGTAAAGCGAGGCTGAAGCGATTCTCATCGGGGTGGTCAATAATGGCGTTTGTGTACATTTGGTCTCCCTTTGGCTTGATCACAAATCCTGTCGCACTTTGCTGTACGCGCGTCTCAAACGTTTCATACAAGAGGCATTGGTAGGTTTGTACACGATGCTTGCTCAACAAGGTTCAACCTGTTGACCCCCCCCCCCCCCCCTTCCGCCCCCGGCATCGTTGGCCGTTTCGGACTTGTTCCTCCTGCTTGCCTTTCCTTGTACTTGTGTCGACGTGCGTTTGTTATCCTGTTGTAGGGAGGCCGCCTCGAAATTAATTGTCACGACGGACTTCAAGGCCCGCGGAAGTATGGTCCCTGAAGACAAGTTCATCTGGCGCAAAGTGGTCGACAAGAACCACAAGACAGTTTTTAGGCTGTGCTCGAGGTGCACGAATGACGGCGCCACTCGAACATCTTCGTGTTGTACATATTGTGGACGCCAAAGACTGGTGCCACCCTAGACTTTAATTGTAGCTAACCCCGTATTGTTGTTGAAGCCGAGCGTTCCCTTCCTCCCTCTCATGTCTCATCCTCGCTCTACAGCGGACAACTCTCATCTTTTTCGTCGCGACCTCTCTCCTCTCTACGCTGTTCGGCCTCCGCAGCTTGACAATGGCCGTAAATTACCAGGAGCGGGAACGGGGTGAAGGATCACAGGGCCGATGCCTAGCCTCGCCGGAAGAAAAGTGAGTATAGACAAGTGGGTGTCAGAAATCATCCCTTCTGGCGTGCGGAGTTGTCTGAAGAACAGTGCCATACTATGTACATATCGTCTCACTGCTGAACGACGTGGCTGCTCCTGTCGGCTTCAGGGCGCGGGCAGAAGAAAAGTTGGCGTCAGATGACCAGCGTATCCTTCAACCTGCAGGCCATGGTCCGAACAGACGAATACACTTCCTGTACGACAACGTTGGCACCTTTCTGTGCAAGGTCAAGACCAGGTACGAATGATTCAACCCTCACGAGAGGCTGGGAAGGGTGACGAAACACAACAGGCACATTGGATACAAGCAAACGGTACCACTCTGGCCGTAGAGGGGAATGGACACTTGGCGTGAGAAATCTCTTTTCTGCGTCTTCAAGTTTGGTCGAACCTCCAACGATGTGAGTGGGAGTACATGAGATGGAATCTCCCTTGAAGATGAAGATGGATCAGCTGGTAGTCTCGGGCCACATGCAATTCGAACGCTCAACCCATCATTTCGCCCCCTCTAAGCCCCGATTATCGTGTGTTGACGACCGACCGCCGACTTCGAGTAGCCGCCGCCACGCGATACGGCTGCAGTCGGAGATCTACCACAGGGCTGACCAAGAGCGGCAGCTACGGCAGCCGGTCCGCGTGTCGCAGCACCTGCCACCGCCACCGGTGGTTGGAAACCGAGTTTGGGAGCCCGTCATCGGGTCTGATGTGGAATTGCTCTTGCCCAAGGCGCTCGCGGGGGGTGCCGTGAAAGACATCTGGTACCGCGTGAGGGTTTGCGAGTTGGACAGCAATGGAAAGGTCGTGTTCGGCTTCCTCGTCAGTCAAGCAAGAACCGAGAAGATTACCAAGTTTTCGTCAGTGTACGACTATGACGAAGTCGTCCGAAAGAAGGGATACGTGGTCCGCCCCGGTACCCATCTCACGTGGAAAGTCATGCCTACATCGGCGGCACCATGATGCCCGGGTCGCAGGCGTGCCATGAGGCGGGTTTGCGAGGCAGCTACGGAAAGCCGAGGGTGCTCGGTAATTTGTTGGTTGAAGGTGGCCGTGTAAGAACAACTGTCGCAGAGAGAAGTGGTTCGTGGGTTTGGTGAACACATAACGCCAAGAATGAATGTGTTCGATGTTGTGCCGACGGCAGCAGACCAGATGAACTGGAGTGCATGGCCAGTCAAACAAGTGTAAGCGTGTCCACCTTTTGACTTTATGGCTATTGAGTGCTAGGGGGAACGATTTGCCCCCCGCCCCCCAATGGGGCGGGCGGCCAGCATGCGTGAGATGGGTGCGACGGTTCGATAAGCAAAGGAAGTAGACGCGATGATGACATCGCTTCGGAAAAAGGGTACTCGAACGGCTTAGCTAGGTACACGATGTGAGGTCGGTAAGTACGTCTGTTCGTTGCGTAGATCGGTGTTCTGCAAAATAGAATGAACACGAAAGGGATTTTCGTGGAATGAATGATCGATGCCCGATCACAAAACGTGAAGCGGACAGAAGACGGGGGTGGGGAATATATTGAAGAGGGAATGGGGAAAACAAACACGACGCATTATTAAAGCGAGCAAAGGTAAGGGGCCGTTGTCACCGGTGGTCCTGTGTGCAGGGATGAAATTTGCGGCGGTGTGGTATCTGTCCATGCGAGTGGTGGTTGTGGCGGGCGAGATGGCGGACGTAGCGAATCCGCGTGATCACCCAGAGGATTGTGAAGAAGTAAATCGCCCCGCCGCTAGCCGGTCGGGCTCCGGTTACCCTATTGAAACTTCTCTTGCCTAGCAAGCAAGAAGAAGTCTCGAACAGGGGGGAGGAATGTGGAGACCACCTTCATAAAGAAAGGTACTATCTCCCCAACGTCTGTGGAGGACGATCCTTCTTTATACAGTTTGTTGGGGAAGCCGGAAATATAGGGAAGGCCGGGTCGTTTTTTATGACGCTTAGAAATCGATTCACCTTGTATATATGTCAATTTTGTCATGCTCGAACGGGATAGGCTGTCAAAGGAAAAATATCAAACATAGGGGATGATAAGCTCATCATCCCCTCCCGTGAGCAAATTAGCTCCGATATCGATCTCCCGAGAAAATGGATCGTAAGGAAGGGGGGGGGTGTCGTATTTTCTCTCGTACGCGCCAAAATATACATAAAAGTAGTTTTCTTGCATACATTTTTGATATGTGTTTTTGGTGCATAAGCTACGTGCACAACCACATATTGAAGTATCTTGAGCAGTTTTTGGTGTTGACCGGTACCAAACATTCAGGGTGGCAACAATGAGCAATGAACAAGTTGGACGGGCAATAACGAATGGGCAGACAATATTTCATTCAGAAAATCTACGCATTTTCGGAAAAAAAATGTGTTCTGAACGGAATCGAACCCGTGACCTAATGTGTACGAGTTTTTAGAGGGGATATTCTATGGTAAGTAGCCAGAGCACAATCGTGGGGGTGTTGTACTCGATCTCTACTTCTACAAGGATTTCTGACGGCTTACGCCGCCACGCTGAGAGAAGCGTACCGCAAGACGAATGTTAATTGGTGTTTGATGCACGATGTTATTCGGCGTTTGTTGAATGGAGCCTTCGTTGGTGGCATGCCGTGGCTGTGAGGTTCCCGTGAAGTACGTTTCCATGAATATGCTTAAGGTTGTTTGCATGCATGTGAGAAACGGAGATAAACGAAGCTAGCCCTGAAAAGATCCCGGAGAGAGATGAAATCCTTGGAGACATGCATGTTCGGCGCGTATATTCGAGATCCCAGAGAGACGAACGCGTGTATTTTGAAACATGCGAAAGTCCGACGTGTCAGAGAGCAGACTACGGGCTGCCCGAAAGGGAGAGAGACTGGCCTAAACCCCTGTGAGAGCGCAGTTAAACGATGAGATGTATTTGTTGTGGTGGATGGGGAGCAGAGGAAAGCGCCTAAAAACGGTTCCTTCCTCGAGCGAGCGAGAACTAGCGGGAAAACGGAATGAACGGGTGTGATGAACGAGCCAGACGCAATTATGAGACATGAGAGAGCAACGGTGGACGAAAGAAAGCAACGGCGAGGAACAGATGGAAACGAGGAAATGGAGCGTTGTGATAGAGACCGATAAGACCTGAAATGGAGCCCTCTCAGCGTAGATCCAGACAGACAGACAGAGAGGAAAGCGACAGAGGGTCAGACCTAGTGCCTCGTGTGAGAGGAGAGCCGCAGATATATATGTGTGCAGCGGAGGACAAGGCGACAGACGTCGTGTGATCGGAAAGCCAGAAGGACCGGACCATCGAGCCAGTGTATCTCAAAGATATTGGGATATATAAGCATAGACTATGTAGAATGCGTGCCTGCGTTTGTTTGGAAGAACCTCTGCTTGGAGATATTGGATGGACCCAAAGTGAAAAGAATTGCACACAACAACCGCATGACAACGGAGTTTACAGGCAGCCACGCATGTATCGCATGCATTTATTGAGAAAGAACGATCCTGTTATTTATTGTTGTTACGTATGGGTAGTCTGGTGCAACACACAGTAAAACACTCCAGTCCACATACCGAACAAATTAAACTCTGTCGACAACGAAGGCACGTCCCGCTTCAGCTCCTTCCTCGCAAAACCAGCGCACTCATCGCGGGTGCCACGTGTTCTGCGCCACATCATCAACAGCAGATCGTGCCGCCTTCCACGTTGCCAACCTGACCACAACCTAGCGCTTGTAGGATTGTGGGTGGTACGTTTGCCTGTAGTTTGTCGTCTAGACGAGGTACACCCCGCTCCTTGTCATCTCACCACCACCACCACCAGCGGCGGCCGCGGCGGCACCCGTCCGTGTTTCAACGCTGCCAGTGTCTTCCGCCGCCGTATTGTCACTAGCGCGAAATGACTGTCCCTGCCCACGCTCCCGATTCAGGACACTCTCGATCTTGCTCACGGTTTCATCGCCTTGCTGATGTTGGCCGCGCCGCGACGCCACGCTGGCGGAATCTGCAGCACCCGAAACCTTCATCCCATACACTTCGCCGTCCAAACAGTGCTCACGGGTTCGGGTTGTCTCTGTGTCTGTGCCCTGGTCGGGTAGTAGCCGCTCCCGGGCAGAAGAGGTTGGTTCCATGATGTCGACACCACCGGTCTCAGCGGGGGGCAAGTGCGGAGATACTCTGCGCGCGATTACAAGGGGATTGACGATAGGCGTGAGAGGTTGAGCCGTCCGTTTGGAGGAAGTTGCAGTGTTGGGAGTGACGTGTGTGAACACCCCCCCCATCCGCCCCCCCCGGTGTTTGCCATCGGGGCTGGGTTTTCGTCGCTTGGCAACGACGTTGTAAAACAAGCCCCCCCCTCGGTGTTTGCCATCGGGATTGGGTTTTCGTCGCTTGGCAACGACGTTGTAAAACAAGCCAACTCACTTCGTGAACTCGGCAACCAGGTTACCTTTTTGACCTCTGTTTTTTTTCGGCGGTAACCATAATGGTGGTCGAGTAGATCATGTTGTGCGGGGTCGAGAACCCTCAATCCGCGCAAAGGTGGATGATCGCACCACGTTGTGTTAAAATGGTCAAGCATCCTTGAGGCAGTTACACAGTGCTTATAACTGTCTCTGGAAATGAGAGCACCAGAAAATAAATTAAGTCATACGCAGCTGTCATCCGTACGCAAGGAAGTAAGCACAAGATGCCGAACACCCTTGGCAGGATGCAGCGCACCCTTCATGCGACTCGCCGAATACCTAACGGAGCTTCGCGCTTGGTGATGTGAGAGCCTGGTCCGGTGAGAACCCGGCGTGCTCCGTCCCGGCTTTGTAGGGATGCGAGGTCAATGGTCTAACGACTACGGCGTGCACGACTATGAGTACACCCCCCCCCCCCCCCCCACTAGTCAATGACCTAAGTGACCGTCATGAAAAAGCAGACGTTCCATCTTGTTGTCATCAGAGTCTGTGCAGCATCAGAGAGTACACGAAACACCCACGCCACGCAGGGAATCTCGCGCGCACCTGACTCTCCGATCCACGAGGAACATGAGGTACATCCCCGTCTGCACTATCCCCGCCGCATACACAAGCGGATGGTGTCGGTACGCGTAATCGTTGTAGGACAAGTACACCCAGTTGAGAATATAGAGCGCTCGGTAGGCGCCCATCAGGGTCACATACGTCCCTGCGTTGTATTTCGAAAGAGGCCCGGCGAAAGAGCGTACAGGATGCGGCAATATCGTCAGGCGGCAAGGGGCAGGGTTGCAACAGGTGCTTGAATAAAAAGCGGGACCTTGTGAAACAGACTATGGCAGGCTTTGCGAAACAGAAACGCCCCCAAAAAAGGCGCGTGGGTGCAGAACGTTATTCCTCGTCCACGGAAAGCCAATGAGAATCACATGGACAATATTCGGTATTTTCTTGACAACCTATCCCAGATATGACCATCGTTCGCAAAGTCCACCGCGTCCTTCTGCAGAGACCATGCCAAGGTCGGACGGAACGAGGCTTCTTCGCTGAGCTTCTGAGCTGAGGGAAGACGGAGAGTAGCGGAGTAGGTTGCTTGCGATGCAAAGCCTTTGGAGCGTGCGCGGCTGTGCTTGAAACAACGCGCAGTCCCGCCTGGTGTGCCAGCTTTCAAATCGCGCTGTCTCCTGGACCAACTCAAGCACTCTGACCTCGCTTTCCACTGCTATTCCCGGCGTCCTCGAAGCAGCTTGGCAAACACAAGAAAAGGACCTGCTTGGGCCCTCAGCTGCCTGAGCAACGAAGCACATTAAACCCTTCGCCTTTCCCGCCTCGAAAAACAGACGTCACTGCTGTCGTCACTCACATCCCAGACGCCCGGCGTCCGTGCTGCCCCGGAACACGAGCAACTGTGGCACGACCGCCAGCGGCTCCAGCACTTCCGAGAAGTTCCACGCAAATCGGAGAACGCCAGGAAGGTAGTAGTGCTGTGTTCGTGCCATGCAGAACGGATGCTTCGGTGGTCAGCCAAACGTGCCGGCAAGTCCAGCAGAAATCTACGGGCACAACCAGCTGAGAGCGTGGTAAGAGAAACGAGAAAGTTCAAAGGCTTCTCAGCGAGATTTAGGGTAGGAACACGTCTCGGCGACTGGTCATTCAGCACGTTCGACCACCAGTATGTTGCGTGAAGGAGGTCTTCCGTGTGTAAAACGATTCGGGAAATGTGGTCATGGTTGGGCTTGGCGTTGTTATGAATGTCACCCGAGTTTACAGGCTAGTGCCGCTTGGTGTCGCTTGCCTTCATGACTCTCCAGCATGCTGCCCTGCTCCCAAAGTTGTGTGGTTTCTGCCTTGTTCGTCTGTTTCAACCAACCACCAGTCGTCATGCCTAGAAACAATAGCATCCACTGAGACTCGATGTGCAGTATACGCCGAACGTTCTGTTGTTGATGGCAATACTTACTTTGCTTGCTCGTTGTCTCAATAGCCAACCTCCCATTCTAGACCTTGAATGCAGTCAACCAACAATATAAATCGGACGTGCTTAGGCAAAAAAAACGTAACAGGAGCAGGCATATCAAACCTTGCCAAGCAGGTTTTGCCACAATTGGACAATCACAGCCAGAACAATGCTCGGGACAATCCCGTGCATCCACAGACGGAAGCGGTCCTTGTCACGAAAATCAGAGGCGGGCACATGAAACCCAGAAGGCGACAGGGACAGACACAAAAATCGAGAGAAATGCGCGATAAGACGGAGATCGAACGGGAAGTTAGGAATGGATAAATACGAGATGAGATGGAATTCGAACATTGACGTCGTGACATTTAAACTATTGGCTATAAATCCTAGACCTGACCTACAGATGTTCCTTTTCCGCAGAACATTCTTTTCCTGGGCGAGTTTCTTTGCGGGACACAAGACACACGCCGACGAACCTCACTGGGGAGGCGAACGTCTGGATGCCGCCTTGTACGTCGGTACCGAAAGTCGCTTAGGCCAATGGTTACGGGGAGGGGTGGGGGGGGGTGCTGGCAATGCGGATACGGCAAACGAACGAAGTTGCCACGGAAATGTGACACATGGAGATGCAAAGCCAGCGTGTTGGTAGGGACTTTTTCCTACTCACCAAGGAGGCGTCGTATGAAGCCTTGAGAGACGGTCGGCTCTTGAGCATGCCAATAGTGAGTCCCGTCAGGAAGATGTGCGCTATCTTCATCACACTTTTGGGCGGAACCAAGGGATTTCCCACGCACAAAGTGCAACAGGGAAGGGTGGCGTGGGGGAATGATTGATCTACTTGAGGCGTCGTCTTTCCTTTTGTCGCTAGGTTCGTTGATTGGGCGTCTTCGTGTGTTGATCGGTCGACTCGTTGACTGGTCGTTATAGTGTTCGGAAAACTCAATGATCAGTGATTCATCGGATGATTACATTGCTCGCTACATTTGCCGATCCTCGAAGATTTCTTCGGTCGGTCGGTTCGTTGCTTTGTCGGTTCGTTCTTAGGGTCCACTTGTTCGTTCGTCGGTCGATCTGATCGTCGATTGGTCGGTCCTTTGCCTCGCCGTTTCATATGCGGCGGCCGTTCGATGGTTGGTTGGCTTGTGGATTGGCCGTCTTGTGGATTGGTTGGCAAGCTACTTGGATCGGCGGATTCAGTTGACGCGCTGGCTGGCAGGTCAGGCATTGGAATTAGCCTGCTGTGGATGTCCGATACAGTCCCGCATCCTGCTCTAAACCCTTTTCTCGCGCAGTGTCTGTGTTCTCTCGAGTCTCGTGTGTTTGGATGGCACAGCCAGGCCAAAACCAAGGGTCCCCGGCTGGACTGATACTGTACGACAAGTGCATAACGAAAATAAACAACTACGGGCGCACTCTGCGGTCGATGAAACTGTCCTTATAGGTCCGGTGGTCGACGTTCCTCGACAGTACCGTGAGGTCCATATGGGTCGCTGCACGTGGTATACTATGTGTTTCGCAAGCACTGAAAGAATCGCATGAAACAAATAGTCCGGGCGCTGCACGAAAGGGGCGTCTCATTCTAGTCCCCCGTTGACAATCAAACGCCTTGAAGTTACATCTGCACCGCCGAACTTCGAAGGTCGAATCTTTCGTATGGATGGCCGCCTAGCCTTCCATTTTCTGCTACACCCCCCGCCACACAAACAGTTGCAGAATGTCCGTGTTGCGAAACAGAGAGAGAAATGCATATAGCTGAGCTGGGAAAAATAGAAGTGATAGAGATTTGAGGCACGGAAAGCTCGGGGGAAAATAAGTGGGCTGGAAAGGCGGGAAGGAAAATACTTCGTACCGCCAAACATAGAATATAATTTACCCACCCCGACCCGACCGCATTGATCGAGTCTTTGCCAAGTTTCCTGTCTATAGAGAGGATAGCCGAGCGGAGCGGTGGGTGGGTCCGTTACAGGAAACCTCGGGCCGTACATCTTCTAGATTCCCATGCCCAGCAGAAGGATCAGGGGGGTGGGGTGGATTAATTTACGCCTGTACCTTGTGGTTTGACTGCCGCAGCATTGCCAGCCGCTACTCACTACGGTCGCATTGCGTTTTCGACCTTGCCGCTACTTCTCTCACCTGTTGTACCAAGAAGAAAAAACATATAGCAAGTCCGAGTACCGCGTCAAGAAGACCACCATGTATAGCTCTTGCATCTTGAGTGACACACCTGGACAAGGCAGAAAAATGCAACAAGAACAACGTTGTGTGCCGACCTGGATTCAACTTGCCAAACGAAGTCTTGCCCTGTCTGTGCTAGTAGTGCCGAATTACGCAGTCTTCCCTTTGTCCGTGCAGTATTGACCACAAAGCAGTGAAATCGCTCTTGCCCTGACCACCAAAAAAATAGGCTGGCAAACCAAGGGAAGAAAAAACCAGAAACCGGCAGCTGTGCGGGGGAGGACCAATAGATCGACCGGAAGAGTACCCCACAGTTGGCACAGCTTTGCACCGTCTTTCGCTGAAACTTTGCCGTCGCCTCCGTTCTTCCCGTGTGGCGAGTCGACCGCATTCGTGTATAATGCCAAGAGAGCACATGGCACTTCTACGCTCAGATTGGTGACGTACTAACAGGCCATGCCAAAACATATCCCAAAGATAGGCATCTAAATCCCAAAGTCTAATAATGAGCCGCGGGGCGCGACAGCCGCGATCGTTTTTCCCTTCATCCGGGGAGGGAAGCAAGGGTCGTAAGTATCGGTCGTGTGCAAACGCGAAGCAGGGGCCGACACTTGATATCCGTGAAGCCCAAATGCATTCCTTTTCGACCCAACCAAGACTTATAGGGCACCGATTGACGATCTGTTGGCTTCGGAGGAGGAAGAAAACAAGGTCACGATTTGTCAACACCGGTTTGGTTCTGCTCCGACAAGAGATGCCCGTGCTACACGGGCATTGTCCCGAAAAATCGTAGGTGGGAGATACCCCGGGAGTCGCCAAGTTTCATGGGGAAGCACAAACCGGATATGTCACGCACGCGATTCAAACCAGGAGGGAAAGAGGCAAACCCTCAGCTCGAAGTAGGGCACATCCACAGAATCACACCCACCCGCCCTTGCCCAATCCCGTATGTGCAAGCATAGCAGTGACCGTAGGCCTGATGCCCGCTCTCTGACTACGCAACAAGGAATGTTGACGATACGCTTCTTGCCGTTGGAATCTCACGATGATGCGTAAAAATAAGATACGGTATATGGGAGTCATTGCTTAAGCAGCAGCAGCAGCAGCAGCAGCAGCAGCAGCAGTAGCAGCAGAGAGCGAAGTCGAGGCTTTGGTGCTGTTGACGCAGCCGCCAGAAGAGACCCAGTACGAAGGTATGATGTCTTTCGCCGGACAGTAATAGGGCGGGGGACGAGGGAAGCCAACAAACGACGCCACCTCCAGCAAGCGATGAGAAATCAGACTGAGATGATGAGCAACGGGTCCACTCGGGGGAACGGTTAGGGCTGGCTGCTTGAACACTGTACTGTTCTGCGGTCGCTTTCTACACCTCACTACCCAATGGCCTCTGTCTACAGCAAGTAGTTGTGTCTGCCACCGCTATTCACTTATGCCGGCGGCAGTGCTGTTAAGCGCCGATCATTTGGTGGTATTGTTGTAGCAGGGGGAGTGTGCCACGGGGTGTTTGTATTTTCCTGCGTCGTTGGCGTGTTGGTGTACAGCAGTAGCACTGGACACCTGCGGGGAGCGTATGCACCAGTCTTGAGGATCCGCTCGAATATATCCGGATACACGTCAAGGAGGTGCAGACGTTATCCGGGTGTGCGTGTTTGCTGCCTGGAAGCAGCGTACGTTGCACACCATCGCAAACTCTACTGCAAAGTATTGAGTCGTGCCTCGCTGCTCTTTCCCGCCCTCTGTATGTATGATACATGATACATCGCTGCATCCATGGATGTCTACACAACAACAGCAGTACCTGGGAACCTTATCAAGCCGCATTCTGTCAGCTGTTGCAACACAGCAGGCGTCCGTAGTCGTCAGTCAGTAGAGGCATGAATTCACATGTAGCCTCACCTGCGGCACTCCGGGAGGTATGCAGCTTATATGGTAGTAGCACCGTTGCCGCCAGGTGGGACATGTCCCCGAGGAACTCGAAAATGTTCATCATGGTGTCAGTGCTCTCGCAAAGCAAACCATGCGCTGTTTCCACGCAAACCATCGCTTGCTGTCGCCAGAGCAATACGTCAGAGACCCTAGATGAAGTCTGTACGTAAGATTGAACAGTGCGACCTCGGCTGGACGTTCAACTACCCACTTTTGCAAGCGCCACAGCCGTCAGTTGTCCTCAGCCACGCTTGGTGGTAAGCGACTGGGTGTTGGTCTTGTAAAAGTCTGTTTCTCAATGTCTCACGAAAAACCTTGCGGCCAACCAAAGGTTCGGGTGCCGGTTCGGGTGGGCCCTCACGGACGGAACCGCCGCATCCGCACACGTGCGAGCTGAGAACTGAGCAGCAACCCCTTTCGCATGTTTGCATCACAGATCCCTCTCATCTAGCTGAATTTGATGCCTTTCGGCGTGAAAAACTGGATAAATCAAAATCCTCTTAGCACCGGCATCGCGCAAGACTCACTACGTTAAGTGGAACTCTTGGGAGAGACAGAAAAACATGCGGGTCGACAGAGCATCTGCATAGAGCGGCAACAAGAGAAACGTAACAAATCAGACGGAAGCTACTGTAGACACCGAACTACATAGGGCGTCAGAGTAGAGGGTTCCTCAGCCTCCGACCTATCTATGTGATAAATGCTGCTTCTAGACTGTCTATTTTGGGCTCTGACGAACTTGCTTCCCTAACAACTCCGGAGCCAGTCAGAGACGCGATCAGCTCCGATTAAGAGGGATTCCGAGAATCGCGTGCCATACTGGGTAAGACAACTCTGCATCGTGCAACTCCTGGAACGATTTTGTTACGAGCGTCGGGCTCGACAAGGGGTAACACTATCTGGAATCTCCTCGCTCTCCTCACTTATCGTCTTGTTGGCCATGTTGTAGACGCCACTTGTATGTTCAAGCCGTCTCGTGTGCGATAAGTACCTTGTCGATTTTCGACACATCGTCCATGGCGGGAGGAAACGTCACGCAAACGTGTGTGGGTGTGCGTTTGGGTTCTACCGTAGAGCATTGATAGCCCCCTTCTAAAAAAAACTGGTTGATTGACCACATGCAAGAATGACAAGCATATGGATGCTGGATACGTACATATGACGTCGTCTCCCGTGCAGCAGTATTGGAGGAAAACGTATGACTTCCAATAAGCGCATACCCTCTGGCTCCAACGCAATGGCTGAACTACGGCGAAGCTGAGGTTCCTCAGAATGGCTGTCACAACCGCTTCTTGCGAAATCACGTTGTAGTAGTTCTTAAACCAGTTCTGCCGGGTAGGAACTCCAATCTGTGGTCACATAGAAGGGTCCCTCCCCTTGATAACCTCTGCCCAGCCTTCGATTATATACGCGGTAGGAGTGCAGAACTCTCTTCCCTCAATGCGTACGCACCAATTGCAGTAGCGCTTTCTACAATCAGGAACGGAAGCGAGAAAATAATTCCCTTTGCAAGAACAGAGAGGGAGTGGGAGGTGTTTTTGCAGTACTGATCCGACACGAGCACCCCGCGTTTCCTGCTGCATTGAGGACTGCCATGGAAACCCTCTGAACTGGACAACCGCTAGAGTTACCACCGCAACAAAAAAGAAAGGGGACATGAATAGCGTATCGTTGCTGATGGCTGTGTCACTGTAGATCCTGCATCAAAAACCTTCCAGCATATTACATGCGATAATGATTTATTTGCCGGGTGAACGTGACAACATACATTGATGAATGTGCCGGCCCAGGTCCGGTGAACACTTGTGCGTGAGGCAAGATCGGATGTGTGGTGAGTTCAAGCGACATCATATGAGACAGCACAAAGCCTGTGTGAATATTGTATGTTACGAACAGAGGCCACTAAAGTTCTAGTCCACGCTCCACAGCAGTACAATGTTCAAACCCTTCTGGTGTCGTGTTTCCAAGCCATCAGCCTCGCCGTGTGCTTTCGACGCATCATCACCTATTCACTTTGAACACGAATGACAGTACAAGTTAACAGACCTCGAAAAGCTTCAATCAGGGCAGGGTGTGTGAGAGGGCGGACCCGTGCCCGCAGGTGGGATTGTATTGTTGTCGGCAGACGCACAGTTCTCGAGAGCGAGTCGTACCGTCGCTGCTAAACAAGGCAAGAATTTTGACGCCACCAACACCAACACGTGAAGGAATGGACTACTTCTCACTTGGTTCGCTTAAGCCGCCAGACCCTCCATTATGGAAACAGAATCTTGCAAATATATCTTGGCATTTTGACCCAAGATTTGCTCACAATATATCTCCGCCAAGATTTGCAGTATCGCGATTTATGGGGGAAATATCTTGAATGTTGAAAAAGCGGCGTGTTGTTCCTCTCTTCTGCTTGAAGTTGATAAAGGCACAACGGCCACTTGGTCCACAGAAAATGCCGAGGTATGGCGAAAAGTGAGCATGACGCAGTTGTACAAGGGGCGTCCCCCCCCCAGCTGTATTGCCTCAACACTGTGGGTGGATACTAGCGATGGGCGCCTACCTGGGGTGCAAAATAGAAGCCGTTTGCCCACGAGCTCATGTCAAGCGGAGAAACAAACTTGTTTCATTGCTGTCCAACTGACAAGAAAGTGCATCAACCCGAGGCCGATGACACCCATGCACGTATCTCACTATGTGGCAGGCGTACCGAGGTCAAACCTCCCGCGCTGTCATCTACACTCACGGATTTGTCTCGGGTGCAAACGGGTTGGGTGTGGGGTAATTCGATGAAGAGATAGAAGCGTCGTACACGACAGAGCAGTGTTGGCAAAACGTCCCTCCTCTATTTTTCTACTTCAAAATAAAGTACTCTGTGAACGGTCCCTCGACAGACTGGTGACGACGCACGTGGCACGAGCCAGGGCAAATACGCATTTTTTTCGACCGCCTCGGTTGTTTTCGTTCGCTGTCGGCGCCCGTGGCGCCGACACAATGACGCCAGGGTGCGTTAGAGACCCTTGCGAGTGTGCCACGTGCAGATTTCATGGCGCTATGGACGATTAGGTTGACTGACCTTCGGTGATCGCGCCGCACCCAGGCAAGATTTGTTACGCCGCCTATAGAAGCCGAAATCAAACCATTAGACTAGTCAGCGCTGACTAGTCTAATGGTTTGATTTCGGCTTCTATAGGCGGCGTAACAAATCTTGCCTGGGTGCGGCGCGATCACCGAAGGTCAGTCAACCTAATCGTCCATAGCGCCATGAAATCTGCACGTGGCACACTCGCAAGGGTCTCTAACGCACCCTGGCGTCATTGTGTCGGCGCCACGGGCGCCGACAGCGAACGAAAACAACCGAGGCGGTCGAAAAAAATGCGTATTTGCCCTGGCTCGTGCCACGTGCGTCGTCACCAGTCTGTCGAGGGACCGTTCACAGAGTACTTTATTTTGAAGTAGAAAAATAGAGGAGGGACGTTTTGCCAACACTGCTCTGT